TCAAAAGAAGAAATTGAAGAAAAATGAAATTATAGCCTTTCAAAGAGGAAAAGTGATGACACTCAAGTGGAAAGACAAAAACGATGTCTGTTTACTCTGTACTGTCTACAGCAGTAAAATGGTTGAAACGGCAAAAACGGACAAGGACGGGACTAAAATTTGTAAACCTCAACTTGTTGATTATAATAATACTATGGGCGGAGTTGACAAATTAGATCAACATTTACATGACTATCCCGTTACAAGAAAAAGAGGGAAAAAATATTACAAAAAAATATTTTTCCATTTATTAGACATATGTGTATGAAATTCGTTCATATTATATCAAAAAAATGGTGGAATGATTGAAAACTCATTTAGATTTTCGACAAAAATTAGTAGAAGAGCTGCTAAATGAATATCCAATAGTAAATAGAAGAAGGTCTGGCAGACCAAATCTTAAACCAGGGCCCAGTCGCTTAACTGAAAGACACTTTCCTGAATTTATTCCACCTACCGAAAAAAAATCTGCCCCTACCAGATGTTGCGCTGTATGCTGTAAGAAAAGAAGTGGAGAAGTGGTGAAGTGGAAAAAAGATAAGAAAAGAAACCAGATATTTTTGTAGAAATTGTAATGTCGGGTTGTGTGCAGTTCCATGTTTCCTGGTTTACCATACAAAAAGTGAATTTTAGATTTATTTCGAAATAATAATAAAATAATGTACATCACTGATTTAAATTTTTTTGTTGACATTTCCATTTGCAATATTATATAGGTAAAAACAGATATTTTTTATTAGGTATATGCTCAAAAATAGTTTGTTTTTATTTTTTTATTTTCGAAGTTCTACACCACTGGAAATAAAAGTTAGGATAGGAAGGGTGTGAAAGTCTACTCCAATGAATAAGAACATTCCATTTTTGTTATAAGAAAAATCAAAATATGTAATGTTATTGTTTTTTCAATTTCTGATGTTCTACACCACTGACAATCAAAATTTAAAAATTAATAATGAAAAATCTGTCAAATATATATTTCTACGAGTGAGAACATTCCATTTTTGTCATTAAAAACGCAAAAAATATTATAGAATTTTATTATTCATTTGTGACTTCTACACCACTGGAAATCAAAATTTAAAAAGTGTCCATGAACAAATTGTTAAAAATATATTGCTATAAATGAGAATATTCCATTTTTGTAATAAAAAAATTTGATTTTTTTTTACCCAAAGCCTCAAATTAACATGTGCATTAATAGACTGATCAAATTAACTCAATTATAGGGGAAAAAAAAATAAATTGTTACCTGGAGTTTAATAAGTGGAAATGGTAAAGGGGCTTATAACAAACGAAAAAAAATAAATGCGTGAGCAGGGGCGGCGGAAGGTTGATTTGGGGGTTGAAAAGTTATGAAAAATTGTATCATTGGAATTTCTGGTGAAAGTTGACGTCAAACAAAAAGTATCTAATACAAAAGTTGTAGATCATGCAAAAATCGACAACTTTTGTACAACTCATTTTTACCTCAAAATTTCCGAGAAGAATGCGAAAAACAGGTTTTTTTCTAATTTTTTGTTTTTTATTTCTCATTTCCGCAAAAATAATTTCATTTTGACGAAACTTGGTGAAAGTATACCTTTCTCTGTCTTAAATAACCTCAAATTTTTTTAGATAAAAAAACCAAGAAGTTTCTGAGATATTCATTTTTTCGGCCTGAAACACCTTTTTCAAAGAAAAATTCTACTTAAAAAAATTATCGTACAGAGTTCTGCCGATAATAATTTTTTTCGTTTTGACATACTTTTTGGTGAACATAGACCACTTTGGGAATCATTGGTATAGGGGCTTGTGAAAAGCTTACTGTGAGTGACTGAAATTCAAAGGCAATAAATTCGAAACTAAACTGGATTCAAAATTGCATTAAACTGCAACTCTGCTAGAGAATGTACCAAACTGAACTGACTGAATTCAGTGACTGAATCCAGAACTGAATTCAACAAATTCAGAAACTGAACTGGCAAAAATTAGATTTTGTTTGTATTTATACTGTTTGTGCCATAACAGTCTATGTAAAAAAAGAATTGCATCCCAGATAGACAATTTTGTAGCGGTTGGTCAGCGATTTTGACTGGACCAATAAGGGTGATCGTCTGTCACACCCCTGGCCAATGAGGATAGGTAACCCGTGACAAAGACAATATTTCAATTGTTTAAAATCATCAGCATACATTAAACTGATTAGTGATTAGTAAATATTTATTTCACATATTGATGTGTTACTACGAAAACATGCTGTCTCAAATTTAGCTTGGAAAACATGCTATCTAAAATTGTTGGCTGCATTGGCGTTGAAATGCACATTGAATGATTGAAACTGTGCACTTATTATAAGCTTATATATTTTTCAAAAAGTAAGGAATATTTATGTTCAGGTACACTGTTTATTTTATTTTTTTCATTCAACATTTTTCAATTAATTTTTGTTAAGTTACTGTTATAAACGACAAAATTGTTAATTAAAATAATAGAATAATATGCAGTATGCTGCAACACGTACATTACTCGACGTTTTTGAAATAACAAATTATAAAAATATAATGTATACCTTAATATATAAAAATGTTTAATATTACTAAAAATTATTAAATTTTTTTCATACAAACCAAACGCTTTGATATAAAAATTAATAGCGAACTCTTATCTGATTTATAGTCACTACTCTTGATACACTTATTTTTTTTTTCACAAAGTCTGGGAAATATCTGAAAATAATTTTATATCCGTAATGCAGATTCTTAAGGAGACTGCAATAAAAAGGATTATATAGTGGACCAGGCTAGGCCCCAAACTCCGGGTCCAAATCGTTCTTACTGCACCTCAATAAAAATAAATGAGTTCTTAAAGGTAGGGTAGTCGCAAGCTTGCATAGACTTTGGAAATGAAATGCAGGTACGCGACTTTTATTACCGGTATTTTATGATCTGCTGGATATTGATGCGACGGGCGGAGAGCAGATGATATGCACGTGCACTTTTCCGCGATTTCCCATGCACACATGTTTATCGTACATATCATTCAACTTTATACATTATACTTATATTCTGGTTATTATGTTAATTTTATTAATGAAATTTTATCAATAAATTATGTTTTTTACAATTTGTTGCATCTTGTTCTTATTTGAAAAGTAACGATTGTAAAAACTGTTTTTCACAAAAATATTGAAAAATTTTTGATATTTGTAATTATGCATTTACACAAAGCTGTGTGTAAAAATCAAGGTTTATCTGAATGCAAGTTAAGAGCAATTGCCTAGACAATTCAGGTATAGCTGCTCTACACGGGCATATTGTCCAGGTAAGAACGATTCGGACCCGGGATTTCAACGCCAATGCAGCCAATTTAAATTTCTAGTCAAACATATTTTTGTGTGAGATAGCATGTTTTTACTTAAAGATCTGAGCTAGCATGTTTTGCAAGCTTAATTTGAGGTAGCACGTTTTCCAAGTACAATTTTAGATGGCATGTTTTTCAAGCTAAATTTGAGATAGCATGTTTTCGTAGTGACGCGTCGATATGAGTAGGTGTTAATAATTTAATTTTTTTTTATTACTCATGATTAAAGAGTGGACAATGTGTGTCTTTAACCCGAAGAATAGGTCAAATTTTGGTAGAGATGTGTACGCGTTCAAAAATGTATTGTGTATAAACTATGCAAAATATAATTATTATGTATAGCAAATATATCGTATTATCCTCGCGAAGATTTGTACCCTTTATTTAAAATCCATAAATCATGTGAACAGGTTAAATAACGAGAAAATAATTAAGTTAATTTAGTTCTAAAGAAATGAAATGACACTCGCGCCCATCTCTAGTCCATCCGTCGACATCGGTTGCGTTTATCGAATTCCTATTGGTCAGAATTCAAACTGCAGCCCTGTTATGAATGGAGCGTGAGTTGGACTATTCTATCATGTGCGTCGCCTGAGGATATTCGTTACATTGACTCCTAATTTCCAATTAAAAGAACGACACTATTTTTAACCGAACTTTATTTAATAAATATGTAGTATACAATTTCTGATTTTCTAAATATTTTATAACGCCTAAAAATGTATGTACCGTGGAATTTTCGTGAATTATCACGTAAATTTCCGATGCATACACGACACGCCACTGCGTCATGGGTAATGTATCTAGGTTTATGAATGACATATCTATGTTCAAGGTTAAAGTCACAAATTGTCCGCTCTCTGTTCATGACAGATTAGTCCTATCTTTTCTCATGTTTTTTAGGTCGGTAATTGGCTGTTGCCCACTCTATTTATTTGCGTGTGGTAATCTTACTTGTTGTATGTGAATTGCCAATAAAACATGCTAAATTTAAATACCTACACACTCGAAAATATTATTATTAAAAAGTAATATTTAAATGATAGTTATTTATGTCAACATAAACTGAATAAAAATATGTGGACACCAGCGAGGCTTCGGCCCTGGACTCTACGGTTTCATTGCATTCGTAATAAAAAATAGTATGTGCAATTCATTCTGTTGTCTGAAGCCTACTTGAGCGGATGAGCTCAACTCCGCTCTTGTGGGCAATAGACAACTTACCACACTTATTGCACAGTATACTATTTTTATATTATGATGAAGTACATTTTAGTGTCTTTTCTATTAAAAATTTAAGACTCGGAGAGTAGTATCTTTGTATATGAATTAGTTTTTTTGTATTTTTTTGTTATATTTTGTATAAGAAATTTAATGTCAGTAATATTGTGCAATAGGCAAATATATACATTTATATATATACCTAGTAGAAAAACAGCTAGGATCGCTCGTCAGTTTAACCCACTAGACACAGACAGGTTTCGGACGTATTGGTCCTCATCAGTGCCATAGGTGAGACAACCGACGACCGATCCAGCTGTTCTAGTGTCATGAAATCACAATCATTGAGCCATTGGTGCTCCGCGTACTTTGTACTTCTTTATATATATATTTTTTTTCAGTCTAGTGATGATGATGTGTCCCAATTTGATACTAAGTTTACTAAGCAAACACCAGTGGATTCGCCGGACGAATCTACTCTTAGCGAAAGTGCCAATTTAATTTTCCAGGTAGGAATAAAATTTATAACTGACTTATTAAATAAGAACTGTTCACAGTATTTATAATATTTTGTATCACCTAGACAAAAATTTAAGTAAAAAAAATAACTTGAATTAAATTAGCCTTTATCATCTATTTTATTTTGTTAATAAAATACATGCTAACTACTTTTCACATTGAATTTATAATGATATTCTGTATCAAAAATAAATTTCAGGGATTCACGTATATAGCTCCTTCTGTGTTGGAAGAAATATACAAGCCGCAAATCATAAAGGCCAGATCACCTCGCAAGACTGGTACTCCCTTCCGCCATCATTTTGGTCTCAGCATAGAGTCAACGCAAGGTAACAGTTTAGACCCCCATTGCAGCTATTTAGGGGGCATGCATCACATGGCACATCACAACATAGGAGCGTTTGGAGTACAGCACACAAATCATCCACATACAAACAATTTCAATAACGATGAAATGATGGAAGTCAGTAGCGGTGTACCTCATGTATAGTACGACATTTTTATAATAGAATATTTAAATAATCCGATCGTTTAGTTCAATTCTTTTTTTTTATATAAATTTAATTTGTTACTGTTACCATAATATTATTCAGTTTACTATTTATATATTTTTTATCAAATTTCTTTCGTAAAAATTCTGCATTTACCGATTAATTTTTTGATTCGGTGAAGGATAGAAAAATTTCCTATACTTCCAAGCTGCAAAGTGTTTCCTCCGCTCATAGTAATTAAGAAATTAATTGTAGAAACGGGAGCTGGGAGTCGATAACTCCATATAAATCTAACGTTTGAATATGTGATAAATAAATTAAGCCTGATTTTTTCTATTTTATGGATAAAGTTTGAATGAAAGCAACTATGTTGAATTGAAAGACGCAAAATTTACGTCACAGAGGTGCAGTTTTGAAGTGTAACTATCCATAGTTATGTGTACTACTAAACATGACATTATGAAAAAGACAAATTTTTCCTGCTTATGCTGCTAATATAAATGATTAGCTTCATTCATTGAGCAGGAACAAAATTAAGAAAATCACAGGTCACAATGTTCTGTAGCGATTTAATATATTCTATCTAAAATTATTTATTTGTGACAGATTTTAGTTTTTTTCTTTTTATTTGAATATTTTTCCACATCAGAAAATGTAAAAATTATTATTATTACTTCCGCGAAAAATAGTTGTTCTTGAGAAATTATCTTTGTCTAATCAAGAATTTCACACTGCAAAATAAAACAAAAAAAAAAAAACAATCTAATTTACGTTTTGAAAATTTATCTATTTTTATTATTATTAAAAGTGCAGTTTGTGTTTTCTGGGGTCCTTATTGGTCACAAGGACTGAAAGGAGTAATAAAAAAAGAAAATTTTATTTAAACACAAAAGTCAGTTTTTTGAAATGTACACTATCTTGAAAGTTTCGTCATAACCATGCATATTTTTAATTTTTTTTATTTATTTTTTCAGTGTCAGAATTATGGTTAGACAAAAATAGTTTCATAAAAGCAACCCTTGACTGATACATATGCTGCAAGAATTGCGTTAAGGGGGAACATCCGAGTAAATAGCCAAAAAAAATAGGTGAATTTTAGGAATTGTTATCTCAAAAACTCTAATTTTATCCAGGTTTATTTTATTCAAAAGTATATTTCTTTATAAATACAGGGTGTTAATTAAGTATGTACAATAAATTGAACAGACAATTTGAGTGATTTTAAGACATAAAGTTCATATAAACATTGACCCGCAGATGCTTCGTTTTCAAGATACAGGGTGTTAAACTTTTGTAAAAAATTGCTATTTCGTAAATATCTTAAACACCCTTTAGGTACCCAATTTTGTTGTAATTTGGTAGTGTTATTTGTAGTGTTAAGGGATTAATTTAACCCTAACTTGATTAAATTTGTAAAGTCCAGTCCCGTCCCGTGCCGTACTTTAATGAATATTTTTAATAATGTTTCTTGTGTGGTCCAGGGATGTGCAATTAAGTGGATTTTATTTTTTTTTTCTCTAAAAATTAGTCAAGATACGAAAAACATTCAAGAGACAAAAAAGTTGTATTTTTAGTTACGCAACCCAAAACAAGTTTAAAACTACCAAAAAGTCGGCGTTAAGGTACTGCTCGGGACGCCACTGGACTTAACAAATCTAATCAAATTAGGGATAAATTAGCCCCTTAACACTACAAGTAACACTGCCAAATTACAACAAAATTGGGTAAAGGATATTTAAGATATTTACGAAATAGCAATGTCATTTACAAAAGTTTAACACCCTGTATCTTGAAAACGAAGCATCTGCGGGCCAATGTTTATATGAACTTTTTGCCTTAAAATCACTCAAATAATAGTCTGTTGAATTTATTGTACATACTTAATTATCACCCTGTACATTTCGACTGGGAGCGCTGCTGCCATGGCCGGCATAAAAAATGCCCCTTCCTTCCACTGTTTGCGGTCCTCAAGATTATCATGCAGCCTCCGCAGCAGTGGCAACATCTTCTGCAGTAATTCGTGCTTGCCTTCGTTGAATCTTCCCTTCATGGGTCACGTTGTGAGTTTTGACTCCGGCGGTACGCATCTTCGATCTCTTTTCGATTCTCTCTGCCTAATGCATTCTGGTAAATTGCCCATAATTTCCACAATATTGGAAGATTAAAAAGAAATTTGCACGCAATGTTCTTAAGACTACAAACATTAAAATGGGCAAAAAATAAATTTGAAAAATACTTTTTTTCTACTCGGGTATTCCCCCTTAATTAACTTTTACATTTTTTCACAGACAGCAAAATGATCAAATAAACAAAAAAAAACTAATTCTTATAGTTCAATCACCATTTTTTTTTATTAAGTGTTTTTAATATACATATATTTTTCTTATAAATATTTAGCTATGTCAGTACCATACATTTTTATATAAAATACAATGATATAAAAATGTAGAATTTTTATGACTTGCATTTGTACCAGCCTATAAAATAGTTGTATATAAATAGGTAGTGGATTCTTGGATATTGTTTATTTATAATAATTATTGCTCCCTGTACTTTGTGTGTTAGCAGTATACTTTATTTAATTATTTCTTAATAGGAATGTTAACATTTTTCTTGCACTGAACAGTTTATTTTGGGAATCTAAAACAGATATTAAAAGAACTTATGCTGATATTTTTATCATGTACCCATTTTATCTACAATTATATTAAGTATAGGAAAAGAAATTTAATTGATAGTTTAAGAACTAAAATTTTGTAGATTGTTTCGTAACGTATCCACAATAGTGTTCATTGAATGGTTTTAAGAATATGTAAAGGAAAAGGAAGTAGAATCGCGAGAGAAATTTTATTTGTCGAAAAGTGACAAAAATACCGTAGGATAAGAATGCTTATACAATTTTTATATTTATTGGTTAACCATTTTATTGCTGCTTCAGTATGTTAAGGGTTGTCACGGTTATTCTCTTTCAAACACATTGTAACAACAGTGTGTCAAAAATGAAGGAGCGGGTTCCTCTCCCAAATATTGTTTTATACAGGGCGATTTGGATAACTGATAACTAATAAAACATAGAACATTAAAAAATAATCGTCTTAGACTTTTTTAATTTTAGCCATATCTTTCCCAAAGACTATCGTAATGCACCAGAATTTGATATGGGTAAGTTTTTGGAGGTGTTAAATGGTATGTATGTTAAATGTACAGTTAGTTATAGACCATCTTCTAGAGATAACTAGCTGTGACCTAGTGTCATTTTATGATCAAACTTTTTTGAGGTTATGTTTTCACAGTGTATGTCATAATTTATAACGTAAAACAATTGTTCCTGGACACCTTTTGTATTATAGTTGAGGAGCAGGTTGACTTCGGGACATTCAGTTGTGTTTTTTTTTAATGGAGTTTTCAGAAAGGGTACCATTCTTATGTAATATGAAATTTTCTGTTGTAATGTATGACACACCGTAACAAAACTTAACCTCAAAAAAAATCTTAATGTCTCAAGTAAGGTTGTACCTAGCGACTCCTAGCAAATGGTCAGAAATTAACAACAACGACATATTTAGCACCCTCAAAAACTTACGTGTATTAAATTTCAATGTATTACATTCTTTTTTTTTGGGGAAGATACAACCAACATTTGGTTCTCAAGAACCATCTCAAAAACAAAAGATGATAGGTCCATGATCCAAAAGAAAGAATTCGTTTTATTCTTTAATGTTCTATCGACCCCACTACGTTATGGTACCTTTTCCAGAAACACTCTGTATAAATATTTGCACTTGGGTTCTAAGTTTTGAGATAAAGGGTAAAAAAATACCTTCTGAAAATTTTTCTGTCATTTGAAATGGGAAATTGAAACAGGTCTGCCACCATTTATAAAAAATTATTTAAATTATTCTAAATTTGCTAAATGGTAAAAGCTATGCAATAAAGTGATCATTTTCGTTCAACATAAAATTTGTTGTTCAAAAATGGCCAAAAATGAAATTGAGTAATTGCATAGCATATTTACCCGTGACGAGAGACGAGAAGAATACTCTTCATTTTTGTCACATTGTCATCCCGTTACACCCTATATACTAATATTTCATTTATTTGTATTTTCCAAGCAGCACCTTCAGATGCATTTTCAGTATCTGGGTTATATTAATGTTAAACTCCACATTAAATGATGGAGTAAATATATTTATAGAACAAATATTATAGAAACTTAGCAGTATCGTTTTTCATGAAATTTTCACACATTTGCGCCTTTAATAAAACATTGTTACAACACCTTGTCTATTCGCAACTGGTTATTTATTACCCCTAACACAAATCTCAAATTGTTACGAGAAGATATTTATCTGCAATGAAAAGGTTAATCATAGATACAACACTATACAGGGTGTTTTTAAATGAAGTAACAAAAATGGTACCAGTGAATGTAGAGCCAAAAATAAGAGGATTGAAGTAAAAATACCTTATATGGAAGTTGCACCCCTGAGGCGATATACCCTCTTGAAGGAGGGCATTGAAATTCACATTTTAATTAAATAAATAATTTGCCTCATATAAAAAATTTCTAATAAAATATTATTGCAATGGGGTTGACTGTTTCACTCCTTTATAAAATACGCCAATGATCGAACAAATATTGAAAAGTTGTCTCTTTATTAGTAGGATGCTCATACCAAGTTTCGTGTCTCTAGCATTCCTCATGTTAAAGAAAAAAAATTAAAAGGTGAATTTCAATCCCCTCCTTGAAGAGGGTATATTGCCTCAGGGGTGCAACTTTTATACAAGGTATTTTTATTTCAATCCTCTTATTTTTGGCTCTACATTCACTGGTACCATTTTTGCTACTTCCTGTATAGTAGGTATATATCCTTTTATGCTGGTTGAATTGATGTCAAGCAAAGAAATGTGCTCCTGCTTAGAGATTGTAATAATAACAGTTTAATTCAGCAATGTGCATACCAGTTTATATTGAATGGGTAATCCTCAAAATATTTAATTTGGTACCGAACATGCATGTGTATCTTCTAGTCCTGTACACGATTTTCAATTTTCAGATTAGGATAATTTAAGTACCCACAAAGGGCGGGTTCATTGGTACCATCGGTTGATAAACCCTAGGTATATAAACTAGATTCGTAAGCCTGCACATTACTGCTTTAATCTCTATATAGGTGTAAGGGAACATATCTATCAGTGTAGATATTATTCCGTATGTAATTAACAAACAGTTTTTTATGATCAAAATTTTTTTATTCACATTTTAGATTTCAGGAAGCATGGTGTGCGAAAATAGATTACTGGATATAAATTAGAAGTGCTGGTTTTATATATTCTTTATTTCATTGGTACACTGTTAGAACTTTTGGTACTAATGCTTTCCTGCTGTTATTTAAACTATTAAAAATCATGTTTAACTACAAAAGGTGAAGTAATTTTATTAGAAGTTAAGTAAATCGGAAAGTCATTTAAATGTTATGTATTGTTTGATATTTTAAACAAATCAAAAATACCATCTAGTAATACGAGTATAGGATATTGCTTTTATGATGTGGGATGCTAAGATTGTAATTGTGGGTTGTAGTGAGTGATTTAATATTGCCTAGGGTAGTTGACTGTATTTGATTGTAGGAAAAAGTGATTTTGTAGTGATAAATACGTCAACATTTATTGGAACGTGATCTAATTTTTTTTTTAAGTTTATTTAAAGGTTCATTAATATCTTGGTAGTCAATCAACGGATTTATTCATGTAGGAACAAATGAGGAAATAGTACTTTATTTTTTATTGATACACATAAATAATTAGTTTCATAAACTTTGAGGTTTGTATTCAAAGTTCATTAAAATATCTATGAATTTTCTCAAAAGCGTCATGATGTATGCGAACTATTGATTTATACAGGGTGNGGGATTGAAATTCACATTTTAATTTTTTTCTTTAACATGAGGAATGCTAGAGACACGAAACTTGGTATGAGCATCTTACTAATAAAGAGACAACTTTTCAATATTTGTTCGATCATTGGCGTATTTTATAAAGGAGTGAAACAGTCAACCCCATTGCAATAATATTTTATTAGAAATTTTTTATATGAGGCAAATTATTTATTTAAAAATATTTTTTGGGAACACTGATTTATTGCGCAACTTTTTTACCTCTTGTAATTTTTCGATAAAACCGATAGTTTTCTAGTAA